AGCAGGGGGGTTGAAACTCAATGATCACTGTGGTCCTTTGCAACCCAGACCATTCTATGATTCTGTGATTCACTGGCTCAGCTCCCTGTGATTGGTGCTGCTGCTGCTCCCTAGCTGACAAAGGTGGAACCTGGTGGGATGCAGGTTGGGGGGTGAGGGAGGATAGCCTGTCTGTAGGAGAAGGCTGCCTGTCCATGTTTGCTCTCACCACAGTCTTGTGACTCAGTGCTTTTGTGTTTTGCACTCTAGGCTCTAGTTCAGTGCTTTACTCAAACGTTGCTGCTAGACACGGCTGGTTCTGTCTTGGCCACAGCCACCAACTGGGATGAGATTGAAATTCAGGAGGAGGCTGAGTCTGGAAACAGCGTAACATCAAAGATCCGTCTGCCTATGCAGGTATGAGAAAGATTCTCTTGATAAATGCAGAGAAATGATCTGATGGGAGGAGAAAATGTTTGATGTTTTCCGAAACCACTGCTTTGTCAAAGGTTGCTGACCTACCACGCAGTTTGCCCGGCACTATGAGCACAGGGCAGACACTCTGTGGTGCTGTTATTTGCTCTTTGAGACACTCACCTCTTAAGGAGACAGAGGTGAGTGGAAAGGGAGACAGAGGTGAGTTTAAGAGGAAGGAAAATAGGTAGTTGCTGTTATGTATTCAAATGAATAAGATCGGCCCCAGTCCTTTAAAGTTGAGCCAAATTAGGATGTATGCCTGGTCTATGCATAGAAGCCCACTAGAGAGACTTCACAGAAACTGATTGCTCTGAAGGACAGGACTGCACCCGTTGTGTTTTCAGGACTGCTGTAACCAAAAGCAGATTAAAAACCTGTGAAATTCAGATTCGAGCCCTTCTATGGGGGAAGGTAGATCTTTGTGACAGCAACTTTGTTGCCTAGGGTGCAGGGAGCTCAGAAGAACGATGTTCTGCTGCTGACAAAGCTAACATAGCTTACAGACCACATGAAAATAACAGTGTTTTGTTGAACAGCCATCCTGGTACGTCCAGTGCCTCCTCTTCAGCCTGTGCCAAGAGCTGAACCGGGTCGGCGGTCATACTTTGCCAAAGGTCACTTTGCAGGAGCTGCTGAAGGCCTGCATGGCAGAAGTGCTTGCTGCCTATGAAAAGCTCATGGAGGAGAAGCAGGACAAGGTACACGAGTAGGATCAGGCCTGGCTCCAGCCTGCATGGGATGTGGGGATTGCTGGGCAGTATCTGTGCTCTGGTCCCCTGGAAAAGGAAATATCCACCTGGGAGGGCTGAAGGGGTGAGGGCACTCTGCCTCCCTCAGAATGAGGCAGAAAGGGATCTGACAGCAGCCTGTGTGCTCAGAGGGGTTTGGTTGTGCCGGTTGTTTTTTGGGAGGCTGTGTCAGTGAAGAGCCCTTTTCCTGTTTGCAGAAAGCAGGCAGCTTCCCCATGACGCAGAACAGAGCTCTGCAGCTACTCTACGATCTGCGGTACCTGAATGTCATCTTGACAGCGAAAAGTGAGGAGGCAAAAACCAGCAGGATCAAGCATGACTCCAGGTGCAGCGTAATTCTGAGTGCTGGAGACTTCTAACGTGTTGTGGAGCCCCACAGCTGTTTAAACTTGCAGCCTTGCTGTCTGCCAAAACACCCACAGGAGTGGTGCTGGGCCGTGCAGGGCAGTACAACCTCTGTGCACAGTCACAGGAACTGGCTTCTTCCAATGAGTCACAGCTTATCCTCTACGTGTAGGAGTGGGATTCTGCAACTGACAGTTCAGACAGCAGGCTGGTGCCCTCTGCTTTGTATGCACAGTGCATCCATGTGGTGGCAGGCACACCTTGGGAGGATGCTCCTAAAGAGAACAGTTATCAGCTCCCACCTGGGTTCAAACCTTCAGCTGGGGAGAAACAACAGCAGGTATTACAGTAGTACCTGGAAGAGCTGAAATCATTCAGCTGATTTTTTCTTAGCAGTTCACATTTTGTTCAGTCACTTCTGCAGGTCGAGGCCCTGGCAGTTCCAGAGCACTCAGTGAAAACATCCCATGGATGTGAGCAGCCATCTTTGCTCACTAGGATGTAAATACTGACAGGCTTTCCTCTGCTCTGCTTGTAGGATTGAGAAGGTGACTGACTTCCTGGAGGGACACATCGATCCATTTGACTTGGATGTTTTTACACCACACCTAAACAGCAACCTTAATCGCCTGGTTCAGCGAACCTCTGTAAGTGCATGAAAAGGAATGCATCCATCAGGAAGCAGTGCTAAAAAACATGATTTGAAGGGTAGTTTGATAAACTGCTTCATGTCCAGAGAGAGCTGCTGGCACTTAGTCAGGAATGGGAAGGGTATTTAATACCAGGTGACAAGAAGAGGAGCTTGCTGAGCTGGCTGTATGGCACATAATCACGCATGGAGTTGGCAGAACTTTATCTAACAGGATTTGCTGAAGCCTGTGCAATGTTAATTGGATTAAGTAGTGCTGAAACAGCCCCAGAACTCAACTATAGTAACAGCAAGCAGCACCAATTAAGAGTTACAAGGAGAGAAGGGAGACAATTTACAGTCAGACTTTAAACCAACCACAAGTACTGTGCAAAGCCATGCTAGTAGGCTCAGCAGCAGCACGTTGGCTGGTCGGCTCTGCAGATGCCCTCCTTGCAAACAGCTTTCATACCTTGTAGGTTCTCTTTGGCTTGCTGACTGGGACAGAGAACCAGTACACAAGCAGGAGCGGGGCTCTGGGCTCCCAGGAGCTCCATAATATCTTGCCCTTAGCATCCAGCCAGATCAGGTAAGTTACCCAGCTCTTCTATTCATTCCTACATCTCATCAGGAAACAGGTCTAGCACTGCTGTTTCCTATGACCAAGTGCATTTCTTTCTTCCATCTCTTAAGGTTTGGACTTCTGCCACTCAGTATGTCGAGTTCACGAAAGGCGAAGTCTGCGACCAGGAACACAGAAAGAGCTCAGGTTGGTGAAACAGAGCCATGTGAACTCCTGTGCTCGTTGTCCCACCAACAGTAGAGCTTGCAGGGAAAGAAGAAAGCAGCCAGGCAGTTAATATTTAACCTGATTTTTTATTTTCTGTAAAATGAGAGAACCATTACGGCAACACAGCATGAGATGGGTTGGATTTCCCCTCGGCCCTCCAAAGAAACCTGATGGCCCCTGGATATTTTTGGGGCCAGCTTTCTGTGTGGTAAAAAATTAGCAACATCCGTCATGAAAATGCAGTGAAGATCTGCACAGATGAGGCGTTTTGAGATCAATGCATAAAAGGGTTTCGTTTAAGTATGGCTGCAGGAAATGTTAAAGGATATTATCTAATTATTTCAACTCCCTTCCAGTGCGATGCTGACCTTTAACTGCTGATGAAGTTGGCCTGGGTATTTCAGCCTGTGTGAACCGAGTGGCTTGCTTCTCTTGCAAAGGCTCTGCCTCGTCTTGTTGCTGTTTTACTGGCAAACATTATGCTGCCACGTTTCCTCCAGTTTAAAGCATTTGCTTAGGTGGAGCTCCCTGTGCTGAGGATGGAAAGAGCCAAGGGGTACCTTACTGCTACAGGAAGCAGTGATCTATTTTCTTTAGCCATTGATAATCTAATAATCAAATTGATGTTTCTGCAGCCAGGATGGAGGAATAAAGACCTGGCTTTATCAAAGCAGAGTGGTACTCGAGCTGCTGGCACTTAGTCTGCAGTCCTTGTTCTCTTATGATTTAGAAGTACTAAAAAACAGATACAGTATCAGGGTTATTTAAAAAGCCCAAAGCTTAACAGTAAGTGTATTCTTTACCTCTTCCACCTCAGCTGTAGTAGCCTGTAGAAGTGTGCAGTGATGTTTGTCTTGCTTCCACCACTCCCCAGCCATGGCTATGGAGTACATGGACATTCTGCATTCACTCCACTCTGCAGAATCACTTGTTCCTTTTATCAGAACAGTTCTAGGGAGGTTAAAGTTGGCAATTACTCAAGAGCAGCTCTCTACAAAAAGCCACAGCTGTGCTTCTACTGTTGTTGCACCACTGTTCTGAGCAGTCTTTTCCTTACTGCAGATTACTGTGTTTGAGCACTGAATGACTCCTGTGTAGTTGCTAACACGAAGAAGCTGTGCATCCACCTCTCAGAACAACCTTTCACTGCTTGTCATTGCAAAGCCAGTTAGGTTGTCTGCAAACAGCTCTTCTGCTGTAGTCTGTACCCCCTTGCAGCTCCTGTAGATGAGGGTTTGGTCAAAGGTGTGCTGTCATCATTCCTGACTCTTGTACTTTAAAACAGGTTCCACCTCCTGCATTCACAAGAGCAGAAGACGAGGCCTTGCGCCCTGGCTCCTTGTTCAGGCAACTTGTAACTGAGGAGGAAGACACAGCTGCATCTTCTCTCTTCAAGCTGGGATGGCTTTCTGGCATGACCAAGTGATTCAATAAAAGAGTTTCTCTCTGCATTTGTCTTCATTGCAAAACTGCAGCAGGGATTGGGGACACCTGCACAGGTGTTGTCAGAAGAGCAGCACTTTCCATCCTCAGCCAGGTGGTAGCATGCCACTTACACCAGGAACAGGTCAGGACAGTCCTTGCACTCTGGCTGCTGAACCAGAGCTCTAGCTACTCTTTTACTTCCTCTTCCTTCAGAGTTGTTAACTTTAAAAGTCAAGTTAAAGAAATCAAACTACACGATGTAACAGAAGACAAAACATTTCACAGCTAGAAATTGGAATTAGAGCAATGTAAGATTCCTCTTTCCTTCAAAAGCTCCTCCCCAGGCTACTCTATGCTTTCCTCAGCAGATACTGTGTGTCTGCTCACTAAATGAAACCAGCAGGTACTTTGGCTACAGCTGCCTAAGCTTTCCTGGTTCTAGTTTCACAATTTATTTTCAATACTGCAACAGTAAAGATAAAGCAGACAGGGCTCATCACACCCCAAACCTGGTGGAGAGCTTACAGCTACAGCAGTCCTACAGCACTCCTGTGACAGCATTTACTGTCTTATTACCTCTAAATGCTCAAAAAATTATTTTCCCAAATACATTTTTTACTGGTTTATTGAAATAAAAAAAAAAAAAAGACTTATAAAACTGAAGATGAACGCTGGAAAGAATTTTACACAGAGCAACAAATCGCTAACAGATTAGGCAGTCAACTGGAATTGGACGTTATGCAATCCTATATCACAGATGTGGATTCCTCAGTCTCCTTTTGACACGTACTTTAAAACCACCCCAAAAAGAATCCTATAAAAATTGCTTCAAAGCCCCTTTTGCATTGCAATAGTGCAGCAGACCACAAGTAAACAATTTCCTGTTAACCTGTTATTTCATTTCAAATATAGACTGAAAAGGCAACAGGCGTTTTGTGCAATTTCATTTTAACAAACTAAGTTGAAATATCCAATCTACACAGTGCTGTCCCTTCACAGAAGGCAAGGAACTGCTGCTTCATCATGTAGGAGGGCGTCCGCGGCTCTGTAAGCTGTGGAAGTGGGCCTCCTTCAGGATCTGGTTGATGTGGAAGTAAGGACCTTGACTTAGTGCAGACTGCTCATGGAAGGGCTGAGAGGAGACAGGGCTGGATCCCGTCACTGCGGGGTTCAGGCTGGGTTCTGGGCCGCTCGCTCTGTCAGGGCTGTTGATGCTACTGCTACTGCAGCTGCTGCTGCTGCTGCCGCTATCGCTGCTGGAGGACTGAGACAAAGAGAATGTTAGCAGCACAACGACACCTTTTCCTCTCCTGTCCGCAACGAAACGCCTCAGTTAAGCAAGCAGTCTTGACAGCAAGTCCCTCCCTTCCAGATTTGTAGGCTCGCATTCAGCCTGATGGACGAAAGAAATCGACCGAGTGCTTTCTTGGCATTCATAGCTGCAGTTATTGCCGACACATGAAAAGCATCGCAGAGCTGGAGGGATGAGCAAGCTTTCACCCAGAGTTTCACTGACCTCCAGTTCAAACCTCGTGCTTTAAGCCCATCAGCTCTGTCCCCGTGACCCACATTTTAGCACTAGTGAAGTTTGCTGAATTCATCCGAGAACTGGAAAATAAAGAACGTCCCTGCACAGCCGCACGCGTCAGTAAAGGCAGGCAGGGCCTGGGGAAAAAGCTGCACCAGCCTCACGTGAATCACTTCTGTTTCAGCAGACATTTTAGGTAAGCACCATGCAAAGCATTTTGCTAGAAGTCAGGTGTTTTTTATTCTAAAACGTGATCTGAAGCATCCAAAGCAACAGACTGTTAAAGTGAGGCGATGCCCAGGGTAGGTCTCTGACACCTCAACATGCATACAGCTCTTCTCCCAGTGCAGCACTGGGACTGCAGTGATAGCTGTCAGTTCTCCATGCCCATTTACTTGACACTTCACAGCAGTGAAAGAATGACAGCCATCTAGTATCTCCACACACAGAGGAGAGAGAGAGAACTTAAGCTTGAGCTCACATGGAGGACAAGGTTCAGCATTGGGGATGAACACACTTCATGGTAATAACTGCAAGAGCATTAGCCATCACTGTCAGCGTTTCAAAGACTTAAAACTGTTTGGTTTGTACCAAAGGGGCAGCTAATGGGGCCATTTTAGGGGCTGCTAATGAAGGGCCTCCATTAGCTACAGCTGAAATACTTGAAAGCCAGGCTGGATGTGGCTCTGGTGGCTGGCGACCCTGCACACAGCAGAGGGTTGAAACGAGATGATCACTGTGGCCCTTTTTCAACTCAGGCCATTCTATGCTATGCTGTTCAGGATAACACTGCAAAGATTCAGGTGCTTAAGAATCAGCAGGTGACATTACTTTGCCATCCTGCAAGAAGGAAATTCAAACAAGCAGCCACTGCAAATGACAGCAGCTAAAAAAAAAAACCATTTTGGTAAGCGTCAAGTTGAAACCACAGAAGTCAGAGCTTGGCAACAGCAGCAGAGGAAAACAAATTTAAGGAAATCAACTGCAATTTAACAGTTGGCACCACATCCAGAAAGTCTCACTTAAGGGTAAATCTAAGAACAGTGCAAACTGCATCTGTGAGAGGCTTGGGAAGGCACAAATTGGGGGTGGCTCACAATGCCAGCTGGAAGCCCCACGGCACCGATTCCACCATGTAAGTTTCCTTGTTTTGCTAAGCACTAAAAAACGCTTCTGTGCTTCAGTTCTGTTAGAGGACATCAAGCAAGACAATGGTAGTGAGGCTGCACCCGTGCTGGTGTGTTAGGTTCAGCTAGCAAGTAGAAAACAACAACAAAAATACGTGAAGTCATTCTTAAGGAAGCAGCAGATGCGACTCCATGAGCAACCCAGTCCTCTTTCTACTGCTACTGACACTCGAGAGGGGGAGAACACCAGAAGGACAGAGAGGAGCAGCAAAATGGCACCTGCTGGGCCATCTCATTTTGCACAGAAGCACAAATACTGAAACGCAGTGCTGTTATGCCCAACGAGTCACAGCAGCCTTGGAGAGAAACCCACCGCACAGGACACTTTGTTTCCTTTTAGTCTGTGTTCCTTACTGTTTTTCGTTACAGCCACCTTCTGAAAATCAAGGCAAAAGTCAAAATGAGAACCTAGCATCGCTTACTGCCCGAGTTTTGTATCTCAGCAGAACAAAAACATTTTAGAGCCGTTAGCAACGATTATTTTTACGCATTACTGATTTTCTTTTTGAAGCATAGACTGTGTCCTGGGACGTGCTTCCTACACCTAAGGCTGTTGGCAGCTCTGGTTTGTCAGACTCTTTATTTCCATTTCTCTAATGCAAAAATTCACTAGCACGAAGCCCCTTTATAGCCCAAATCATGTCATGGACCTACCATTTCCCCAGGCTGTGGTGCACATTCTGTTACGCATTTGGACTACAATTAGACAAAAAAAGAATCCTTAAAGTCATCATGGCAGCAATGACAGGCATCTACACAATGAAACAAAGGTTTAAGCAAAAGGGCAGAAGAAAGCCCTGAGAGAGTTTATGAGCATCTGAAGCATCAAAAGGGTTCCTCCCTCATCAGCCCCCCGTAGCACAACACAAGTTTCATCCGGACATTTGCTTGGAAACTATTTACCTGCATCCATCTGCTGATCTGTGATACTGTGTCTCAACCACTAAGAGCAAAAACTCGAGAGCAGCATGATCTAAGCTGAATTTAACAAATAATTAATCTGGCTTCCATTAAAATTTAGACCAGCCCTTCCTCAGCATGGTAGTAGAGTGGCATAGAAGTTTTTCTGTAGCATTGCAGCTATTTGAGAGAAGCAACTGCTGCCTTGTGTCAGCAAACTCCAACAGCAATATCTGAGGAATCCCATCATTGGTCAGGCTAACAGAAAGGAATCCTAAGAAACTGGGTTCAGGAAGGAAAAGAGTTGCTGGAACACTGCACGCTCCCTTCCTTCCAAGGGGAAAAAAAACCAAAAACACAGAGCAAAGGGCTTTTTTCCCCAGTGATTCCAAGGCTACAGAACACAGTGCTGCATTCCCTCGATTCCCCACATAACAGCACCTCAGCAGATCCACTGCAGCTCTGCCTAACCTGCCATACAGGCTAGTCGAAACAGCAGAGCCTTGCTGAAGTAATCAGCAGGTATCTGTGCAGACAAGAAAGCTAACCTGCTGGTGAACGGAGAAGATAGAGGACAGGATGAACAGGAAACAAAGCGCAGTGGCAAATGCCCTGCTTTGCTAACATCCAGTGCTTATGGACTGAACTGCAAAGCAGTTTCCCACAGTTGTCACCTGGGAGAGCAGGAGTGGTTTGTTCTGAGAGCAGAAGGAGCTGCACATCATCACAGCAATTTGCCAAGAGGCAGCGCTGATGGCTGCTGAAGAACAGCTCTGCTTCCCAGCTGTGTTAAGTCAAGCTCAAGCCCCAGATGAAAACAGCAATCCCCCCCTTCCCATTACACACAGCTCACAGGAGGGCTGTGACTCCAAGCAAGGACTGAGCGATGCCATCAAATGACCCACATGAACAGCCACCATCTAACACCTGGCTATCAGCTATAGAGAACAAGACAAAACACAGAAAGGGCTGCCGTGAGCCAGGTTCTGTTTGAGGACTACGGCCAGCTGGTTTTTGCACCGAGGTGATGCAGGTCAATCACCCTGCGAGAAGGAAAGCCAACTTTCAAATGAAGGGAGGCAAAAGGAATCAGAGCTCTAGCCAGCATGAGACAAAAAGCAGGTGTGGGTGCCCTCAGATGGAAGCACACCATCTTTCCTATTCCTCTCCTACAGCTGCTGGGGGCTTTGAATCAGCCAGAGCTCCTCTTGCAAACCACATATCAGAAAACTAAGTGCAAGCATTACAAAGTGGCAACAGTTTCAAAGTGACACCAATCGGAAGCACTTGCAAACTGCAAGCATCAAAATGTCTCCACTTAGTACAGGAAGTCCTCAAAGAAACATTGAATACTGATTTAATCTCACGGCTTTAATCTCTGAGCATGCTCAGTTCAGTGAGTCAACATCACAAGAAAACAAGCAGGGGAAAAAAATAAAATAAAAAAGCTCTGTTCATCAGTAAAAAAACATGGTGAATTTTGTTTCCTTGAGAAAGGGAACACTGATTTCTGCAGAACTGTGCCCAGCACACACATTCCTCATTCCAGCAGCACCAGGAGGATCCCCTCGCCTGCACATCAGGGTTTAATGTGTTAAAGCATACTTCTGCAACACACGTGCATGCATGAAGCAGGAATCTTAATGTTAGCTTCAGCCACTGAACTCTGCTCTGACTCTGCCAGCAGCAGGGCGGGCGGCTCAGACCCATGCTGTTCACTCACAGGCACCCCAAACAAAACAGCAGTTAAGGACAGAGGGAAGGGCATCTGCTCCCCTGTGTCTGCTACGAGGCTGTTCCCACTGCTGTGTTTTAGTGGCTTGGCCCAGCCAAACATCAAGTGCTCACAGGACAAGCAAAGGTGCTTCTGCCACTCACCATGAAGGTTTTTCCTGATATTCTCAATTTCATTACTCCCATTTCAATCCCTTGTTCCACACTAAATTCTTCCTCCTCCCGCCACAAAGCTTGTTTAGCCATTAACTACTCTACACACGAAGAGGTGTTCCACCTGTTGGACAAGTGATCCTGTGTCAGCTGGCAGGCAGCTTCTACCCGTTATACCCAAGAAGCAAAACCAACTCCAACCCAGCAAGTCCTACATTTGGCAAAAACAACACAGCTAACAGCAACATCTCCCATCAGAGCAACCTCCCTCGTGATGGACATCTCAGCTGTGCAGTCCCAGTTATCACAGCAGCCACTGGTAAAACTGTGCTGGCTAAAAGAAAGCCTCCCTCACAGAAGTGATGGTGGGATAGAGAGGCTGACATCGTTTTAAGTCTAAGTATGCATTTGAAGGCATTGCTGTGTGATAAAAGATAAATGATAAAAGATAAGCTGCTCAGGTACAGAGCATACCACATGTGGTGCAAAGCATATCTAGTGGTTCAATGTAACAATATCTTGGGATTACTTATTAAGGTCAGTCTTCAGAGAGAGGGGGCTCCATTAAAAAAAAAAAAAACACTTTAAAGTCTTAAAAGAAATCCATTTCATAACTTGCAGGGACACAAACTAACAGGCACCCTCTGCAGTGCAAGCTCCTCTCCATTAAAGCTTTGCAATAAAACTACACTGCTAACTAGAAATGCACCCAGTGAACCTGCAGGTGATTAATGCAGGCAACAATGCAGGAAATCTGGTGGCAGCGTGAAAATCAGCATCTTCTCATTTATATTTTTTTTAAATCTCAGATGCTAGCAAGTGACACCATGCTAGAACACCTGCTGTGTGAGGGACGAAGCCACAGCAGACAGAAGCCTTCTGGTCAAACATAGCATGTTTTCCAGTGAAAAGTGTTGATATCCAAGCTGCATTTTACAGATTTGAGACTCATGCATAACAGAGTTTGTGTCGTACACAAAGGCAAAACAGGCCTTCATCAACAACTCCCTACAGATGCAATTTCATCAGATAATCCAACTATTCAACTCAGCATTAAAGGAAACTAAATCTGTCCAAGAAGGCTCTCACCTCAGTGTCCCAAGAGTCCTGAAGGACAGTATTCCTGGTACTACGTTTGGTCTGTGGAATATGACTGTCATCTTCATTGCCATTGCGCCTCCTCTTCCTGAAGAAAGATCAGAGAGAAAGAAGAGAAAAAAGATTATCAGCCTCCTGCTGTACTGCTGGCTTTGTCCTTCAAAGGTGATTCTTCAGAAGAAAAAAAACAAGAGGAAAACTCATTAAATTAATGACAGATGCATCTAAACCTCCAATGTGTCGTGGGCATCATTTTCTCTTTTTAGCTGTTCTCTATGGAGAAAACCCTCCTCCTCACCAATTAGTCAGGCTGATGTTTCATACCAGTTTAAGGGTCAAGGACTCGCAGTGGCCATTAAAAAACAGTGCTGAGCATCTCTCTAAACAAATTTCTCCGACAACTCTCAGCCTTGTAACCGCTCTCAGTGTTCAGGCACATCTATAAATAAGCCTGGGACTTTGGTAAACATCTGACAGGCTGAAAAGAGCAGCTGGAAAAAGAAGTGATCACACTTTCAATAAACAGCCAGTTACTTTCATCTTGTTGACGTGAGTCTACAATTGGAGCCTGTGACAACTTTCTTCAGTCTCCCAACTCAGCATCTGAAATCAAATCATACTCCTGAGCCATGTTTATTTTTTGCATTCTAGAAGAAAGGTTTGCTTGACGTTAAGGTGGAAAGCACATCCTAGAAGACAAATCCTTCTCCTATTCGGATCTATTTGCCATCCTCTTATGACATCAGCGCTGCTCCACAGCAGCTTAGCAATAACAGCAGCTTAGAATCCCTGTGAACTGCTGTCCCTCAGTGTCAGCAAAACCTGGCTGTTAACATCAGGTGATTTTTCCCACTATGGGAACACAGTTGGTCCGCCAGACCCTCAGTATGCTGAGCGTTACACAAACACTGGGAGAAAACCACTTTGATAACTGAGGATTAACACACATAAACACACTCAAATGAGTCAAAACAGACTCAGGCAAGATATTTATAACTGAATCTTTCTGGCTGAAAAGCTGCAGCAGCAGCCTCGGCCCACGCCTGCAGACCAGAAGTTGCCTCCTGCCTCTCCCTCCCTCGGGATGGCCACAGCACGGCTGCCTGACGCCCACCTCAGCATCCCATGCTGTCACAGCGCCCTGCTGAGCAGAACCACTCCCCGCCCCGCTGCAAACACGCCGTGTCCCCACACAACCACCCCCACTCTGCCATTCCACCCCCCCCCCAGCCCAGCTCCCTCCCCTCACCCCCAGCTTCCTGCTGCGGCCTCAACCCCCCCCAACACCTCGACACAGACAACTGCCGCCCCAGCACGCAGCTCAGCCTCCAGCCAGGCCATCCTCACCGACCACAACGCTCCCCTTCGCACCCACAGCCGTTCCCCACCTCCTCCCACAAACCCGCGTCGCCAGCAGGCCGAGACCCTCTCAGGCCCGCCTCCGCCTCAGGCCGCGTTCCCTTTTCCCTTCCTCTCCCTCCTCGCTCAGGCCGCGCTCCCACCTCTGCCTGGCCCCCCGCTCGCTGGGCAGCGGCTGCCGGCAGCTCATGGCGGGCACAGCCCGACAGCCGCGGTGCGCTCCGACGCCGCTGAGGAGCTCCGGCACCACTCGACTCCCACCGCCGCTTCCGGCGTCTCCACCTCCCGCACATGCGCGCCGCCCGCCTTAACCCCGCCTTTATCTTTATGCGCGTGCGCGAAGCTCGCCTTAGCCCCGCCCCGATCGCTGTGCGCATGCGCACTTCGACCCCCTGAGGCCCCCTCGTTGAGGGGTGTCTGCCGCGCCGCCTGACGGAAAAGCGGCCCCACCATGGCCGAGGCCCCGCCGGGCACGGAGCTCTGCCCGCACTGCCGGCGGCCCTTCAAGCGGCTCCGTGCTCATCTCCCGCACTGCAAGGCCGCGCCCGGCCTGGAAGCGGAGGGAGACGGGCGGCGGGAGGAGGCGGCCCTGAAGAAGAAGAGGAAGCGGGAGGCCGCGGCCCGGCCTCGGGTAGAGGCCCAGGCGTTGGTGGAGGCCGAGGCCCGCGATGTGGCGCAGTCCCTCGACCTGCTGCCCGAAGAGGTGGCGGGAGTCCCGGAGAAACTTCGGGACGGGGTGAAAATAGTGATCGAAAATCACCGCGTCAAGGTGGTGAGGGGAAGGAGCGGCCCTGGGGGGCAGTGCGGGGCTGGCTCCAAAGCGCCGCGATCAGCCGAGCTCGAGGGAAGAAGTGCCCCGAAAGCAGCGCACGTGGAGGTGCCTGGCCACAGAGCTCCCGGCTCAAAGGGAGGAAAAGACACCGGTTTAAATGCGGTTAAAACACGTGGGCTGCACGGTCACCCTGAAGCTGACGGCAGAAGGAGCCCCTCTGACCTCACTCAGCAGGAGGGAACAGACAAAACCCGGACAGAAGAGAAGCAGGTGTATGTGGAAGCTGCTGTGGAATACAAAGCCCCTCTTTCTGTTTTGCACGCCCAGAACCTCCATCTGTCAGCAAGACAGGATTGGAGAGGTCACAAGGAAGGGACATCCAAAAATTACCTAACCGGCATACAAATGCTCAGTGTGAACAAGAAGCAGATGGCTGTCGTTTCCGAGCCCATCCTGAATGCAGGGAGGGACAGCAGGCTGGCCTTGGACCAGTCCTTGCTCCACACCTCCAAAAGCCAACCCATCTGTCTCCCCCAGGCCTCTGGCAGAAGCACACAGTCAGGTGCCGTGGGTTTGGAGTGGTTTCCAGACTTACATTCTAACTACCACAGTCTGAGCATGTTTCCTGAGAAGTCTATTCAGGATGACGTGGGGATCACAATGAAGACACCAAAGGGCAATTTCTCAGAAGGACATCAAGGTAACGTTAGAAACAAAAGTCTGCTGCTGAGATCTGCTGTACTGCCAGGCTGAACTGTGAATGGAAGAGGAGGGGTAGGAAATGCTGAGGATGTCACTGAGTTTTCAACAAGTGATCTGGATCAGATCTGAACAGGTCTAAGTCTAGGGACATTACCTATCCAGGTTTCTCACCCTAGAAAACCAAGGGTTTGTGTTTTTAGGTTTGACTCTTGCACACCAGGGCCAGTAGAACCAGCTCACTTTGTGGGAGGAACAATTTGTTCTTCCTTTCTGAGCAATCTCAAGGTCAAGGCACTTACAGATACACAAGTTACCAGCTCCATGCTCAACACTCATAGCAGAAAGCACAAGCACAGCATGTATTGGCCTCAGTTTCCTCCCTCTGACCATTCTGACTTCTCATTTTGCAGGTCCTCTCTCAGAAAGGCACCTGATGGATGTAAGGCTGGGGGAGCTGCCCATGTGGCTCACCACCTGTGATTTTTCTCCCCGGGGGCTGCTTGGAGGCGTGCAGAAAGGTGAGGCTAAGTTTGTAGCTCTTGTGGCAGAAACATCCCACTTTACCTGATAATGTGCTGCTGCAGCCTGGTCCAAGGGGCCAGTCTAGGTCTCTGTAAAAAAGTAAATCAAGAGACCCAACCTTCTGGCTTAGAAAGGCACACGGAAGCCAATCAGTCGACTCCATGGGACCAGTACATGGTTTGACCCTCGTGTTTCTATTCCAACAGTTTGGAGCAGTTATTACAACAAATACATCAACGTGAAGAGGGGTGGAGCAGCTGGAATCTCCATGCTCCTCGCTGGGTACTGTGTCCTCAGCTACAGCTGGAACTATCAGCATATCAGTAAGATTTCCTTCTTGGTATCTGTCTTATTTCAGGTAATTCCCCTTCTGCAAAAGCTGCTATGATTATTTAATAGTCACGTTATTTTAGGCTCAGAAGTAATTTAAATACTTCATCAGTAAAACTAGCATCAGAGCTCAAGGAACAGCGTTCTGATTCGGCTTAGGAAAGCAGAGGAATTTTGTAAAAGTGGTGGTAACAGCAATTTGCAGCTTCTCTCTAGCTAGAGCCAGGAACAGCCAGCAGCACTCTTCTCCCTTTGCTCTGTACATGGCTTGAGATATTCCAGCTCATTCCCTGGATTTACTCATAAATGACACAAAGGATTAACTGGTGTCTGTAGTTTCTCCACCAGGACTTGCTCCCACGTGCAGCTTTATAGTAGGTAAACAACAAAGGCTGTAGTCAGACTCCTGCTCATCACTGCTGGGCAAAGTACTCTTGTCATACGGTCCCTGAGCACAAAGCTGTGCTAACTTTTATTTTTTATTATTTCCCCAACCCTTTTTTGCTAGAGTGCAATCGCTGGCGCAAGTACCACTGAAGAGGCCACAGCAACACCCAGGAAAGCGTGGTAAATGTTTGACAGAATCAGCACAAGCTCCTGGGACCAGCAGGGTTTGAATCCTCAGTGAAACAGCAGAGGCCCATTTCCTGTCAGACAGGCTCTCAAGCTGTTGGTACTGGGAGGATGCTTTTCAGCCACCCTCCTGCAGGTAGAGGGGTGTTGCTGACAGCCTGCAGTCACTGCTCTGGGGTCAGTGTTTAGCACTGAAAGAGAAGAAGGTGTTAAGGCAGCTCCTCAGAGGTCTGAATGCAGTAGATTTCCTGTGGTATTTGGCAAAGTATGTGGTAGATCATTGCAGATGGGGGTTAATAAGTAACCAGAATAACCATTGCCTTAAGTTATCAGGGCTGTACCAAGCACTGAGCACCTTCTACTTTCTTCTTGCCCCAGTAAGCAAGATTATGTTTGTAGTTAACTTGTGAAAGGAGAGCGATGCCTGCAGAGCCCTTCTACAGAGGGGCTCCTGCTTCCCTTAAGCACTGCCTGTGGGTCTACCTGGGCTCTGAGACAGCTACAGGAAGGATCTTTGTGGAGGTTTTAAAGCAGCAGCACTGAGAACACAGTGCCCTATTTCTGGAGGAAGAAAATCCATTGGATTAGCTGTTGTGCCCAAAGGGCAAACCGACATCAGACAAATGAGGACAGTTATGGGAGTGCTAGTTGTAGCCTGCCATCCTCAAACATGTCTGGAAAAGGGTTGGTCATGTTACAGGCACAAAAGCAGGCAAAAAAAAAAAAAAAAATGAACTCCTTATTTTAAGTGGGGTGCAGGAGAACTGTGTCAGAGGTGTTTCACAAAGAACTCCCTTCTCACCAGCAATAAACTCCTTGTGAATTTTTCTTTCCTGTTTGGTCCTGTGCATTCTTCAACATGGTGATTTCTTGCTTACTTCCAACTTGACCAGCACACCCCCACTTTCCCCTGACCCAGGCACAAGCCATTCCCACCCTCCTTCAGACTTTGGGCTGGCAATCTCCTGGTGCCATCTCCCTGCTGCACCAGTCCAAGCGTAGCCGCATTCCAGCTGTGCAGGAGGGGATGGAGGCAGTGACTGCTGTGGGAATAGTGAATTCCATTGAGGAAGATGGGATTTCTCTTTTGCTGCTCAGGCACATGGCTCTAAGAGCAAGTGTTGAGCATAGCCAACAGGCTTTTCTAGTCCAGCAGCTGTCCTAGTGGCCTGTCTGGCTCCATCATGTTGTACATCTCCCTGTGTCTTCCTTCTGCTTTCCCTGTGAGCGCTCATTTCCTCAGCAGGATTTCCATTTGGTTCTTCCCACACTTGCCAGCATAGTGACCTTTCTGTCTGCACTGGGGAAGGAACAGAGAGAGGCAGGCATCAATTTTGTGATAGATCAACCCTGTGCTGTTTTACCACGTGTTCTTGTCCCATCGTTTCCAAGTGAGTGGACTAATGGAGCTATACCTCATCTGACACAGCTTGTGCCTATAAGAAACAGCCTAAGGCTTATTGCTACAACAACCCCCTGCCTCCAAGACTGCTTTCCACAGCTATTCTACTGCGTGCCAAGTGTTTACAATCAAGGAAGTCTCCACATTATCACTTGCAGTCCTTACCTCATCTTCTAGGGACTGCTGTCAGCCAGCCCCAGGCACGGCTAGATTCACAAAACCCACTTTCAGAAAGCCCCCCACAGCTCGTGCTGTCCCTCTCTCCCACTCCTCCAAGCTGAGATCATTGTTCCCAAACCTCCCAACCCCAGCATCACTCACCTCAAAGCAGATGCCTGGTTCTGGTGGGTACTGTAGGATGATGGAACCATTGCTGGGGTTCCTGGGCTGCACTGCCAGGGACTGGGTGGTGCTGGTGACTAGCAGCTGGGGCTCTGCAGGTGACACATGTTTGCATCCCCTCTCCCGCCTGGCAGCAGGTCCTAACCATGCCTATCTTCTGAGGACACTCTACTCCCCGGTGGGGACATGTGGCAGTCAGCTTCAGCAGCCCCCAGCTCCTACCAGAACACTGGGGCAGGAGCACAGAGCAAGAACAGTTTGAGATGGGTCAGTGTGGGGACCTCCTGCATCACCTTTGCTGTGATCTGTGCTGTGCATCATCAACCCGGCCTTGAGGCTGCAAAGGGACACAAGGACAAGCAGTTACCCCCCAGGACACAGCAAGCAGCACCCCTTCATGGCACTCACAGCCGTCTAATGCTGTCCCAGGATTCTCATCCCCCAGCCAGCCCTATCTGGCTGCATGCCAAGCTCCCCCCCATTCCACCCCATACTTACTGAATAAATTTGCATTTAGGTCCATCAGGGCGGAAACCCACAAGGTAGCTGGCACACATCACCCTCCGTGTGAGCTTGTACCTGCACGGGGGACCTGCCACACACAGAAGAGCTCCCTGTTAGCAGGGACACAGCACTGAGCCTGGATCTCTGCCAGGCACCAAGTAGCACTTCCACACAGCCCCCAGAGCTCACCCTTCTCTGGCTCCATCACCTTGCAGGATTTGGGGCCAGCAGAAGGGAGCAAACCTCCCATAACCAGCAGGTGGTGAGCACTGTCCCGGTATCTGGGCACTCACCATGCCTGCAGAAGCTTCTGTCATACCAGGGACAGCCCGTGGTGCCAACTGTAGCATCAACATACGGGAAGGGACAGTCCTCACTGCTGCACTCTGTGGGACCAGGGGGAGGGGAAGGGGTGAAGGCTGGGACAACGCTCACCCAAGTCAAACAGCAGAAATATGGGAGAAACAGGTGCCCAGGGGCATGCAGCCTCAGGCAGACACTTGGTGGCATTTCTTCCCGCAGACAGGAGGTGGCATCAGGAGATTGCTTGAGGCCAGACCCGGAGGACACAGGGGGTTTGGGTGGGACAGGCTGCAGGGTCCTCATTCTGCTCTTACCGAGCTTGAAGTGGGAGCAGCACTTGGGGATCACAGTCATGTTGGGCTTGCGTAGGAAGTCACAGCCACTGCACCATAAAAGCAGTGCTTACAGACCACCACCCACCTCAACTCGTCATGTAGGATCACCCCCAGAACGCACCCAGCTCATACAGGCAGTGCCTGAGTACCATATGTTCACTGTGAGGCATTCAGACCCTCTCCTTTGTGCTATTGCACAGCTCTGGTCCATAGGAATGTGGCACTGGGGAGAAAAAATAGGCTCTGAGCAGTCAACTTCTGTGCTCTAAGCCTGCACCTTGCGGGACACACAGACGTGGAGAAGCCCATTATGGTCGTGGTGTGGTGACAGAGCAGAGAGAGGCCCTCCCCAGCTCCCTGATGTCCCCAAGGGACTGCAAAACGGCACTGGTTCCACCCATCCTGAACCCTTCATAGCACTCACCTCTGGTGCAGAGCCCTTGGGTGAAGATCTTACACACAGCCACCCCCAGCTCTGCAGGGAGATCAGGGGAGAAGGAGCTTAACGCACAGCACTGGTGCCAAGACCACCATTCCCCAGAGGGATGAGCCCCCAACTCTTCCCACAGAGCTGCACTGGGTGCATCGTCAAGGGAAGCAACGCCTGAGGCCAGCCTGGCAGAAATACCACAGTAGCTGCAGCAAAGCAGGGAGAACCCCAGCACCTTCTGCAACTCTGCTGCTCTCCAGGGATGCCACAGGACCCTCAACTTACTGTCTTTACCTGGGAAGGGCAGGAGCTGGGCTCCTTACTGCTGCTCCGTGTCAGCCTCTGTATCAAACCTGATCCTCTCCGCACCAGCCACCAGCTCCTCCATCACTCTGTAGTCACTAATCCCCCATAGGGCTCAGAAACCCTCTTCTTCCTGCCCCCAAAGCAAACTCAGCTGAAGCAGAAGCCCAGTGCCCTCCATTTAGGGGGAGAAGCTACCCACATCTGCTCTCAATTTGCAGCTGTGATTGCCTGGTGCCTCAGCCCAGCTGCGGGAAGCTCAGCCCAGGTACCCCAACCCTGGTGATGCCTCCTTGCATCAACATATGTTTCCTCTCTGCCAGTGCTGGGAGAGCAGCTGGCAGTGGCCCTGACCCACAGTGGGGTCTGCAGGAGCTGACTCTCACCCCAGGCTGCACACTCAGCAGGGAGAGCCTGACATCAGAGCTGAACGTGGTCTGCATGCTGTAATTAAATAGCCAGATAGCAAGGGATGGAACCTTTGTTGCGCCTTGTAATGCTTTGAACATTGCTGGTGATGCAGAGCTGCACCATCCCCAGTCCCACTTTGCAGTGCCACATCTCCAGGCTCACAGTGAGGACAGCCAGCTCGTTCCTTGCACCCTATGAGAAGCCCCTTTGGCCTCACTGCCAGGCTGGGGGCTTGTACATGTGTGAGGCTGCAGTAACACGAGTGAGACACAACCCTGGTGTCACAGTGCCTCCCAAGGCCACCCAAGCAGACCCCCGTCCCTCTTCCATCATGTAGTTCCTGCAGCCACGCGCATCCCCATCACGTGCCCGGAGTGACATGGCCTGACACATCACGGATGGAGACCTGCTCCCATTCTGTCACTAGCTATAAATGCAGTGGAGCAGTGCTGCACGCCTGCTGAGTGCTGCCAGCGGGGCTGCAGCCTTGCACTGGGCACCCACCAGCACCCAGTACTTGTCCTGATGGCATCCCATGCTGTGTCACATCCCGCACTGGCCTGACGCTCACTGGCATCACAACGTTGCTCCCCACCAGCCCTAACCCTGCAATGCTGGCCCTGCACTGGGCTGTTGTCCCATCCCGGTGAGCAGAGCTGTGTCCCATTTGCACTCAGTGAGCTGCTGTGCTTTCTGCCCCGTCGGCTCGCAGCAGTGCGGTGCTGCCGAGCAGAGGCTGGAGCCGACAGGTGTCACAGCAATGGGAATGGCTTTGTGACAGAGCCAGGACTGCTCAGCACCTGCCCTGGGGCTCCCCATCCCCAAGTACCCTCCAGAAAGGGGTGCAAGCCCCAGAGACCTTCCCAGCATACTGCTTCATGTCAGGGCAACAGTAAGGGACAGGAGGAGCCTGACGACCTCTCAGGACACAGAGACCAGCACCATCGGTTTAGGGAGGGATGCTCAGAGCCCAGTGCACCAGTCCCAACCCAATGGAGCAGAGTGGGAGCAGGGTAGAGGCATCCCGGTGAGCTCAGAGCAGCCGCTGGCCCGGCTGCCAGCTGCAGCTGCTGTTGTTCTCACATCCTGAACAATAGCCCAATGTCCCACGCCACGGGGCATTGTGTCGGCACAGGACCCCATTGTGTCCCCACCGCAGCTCAGCGCCTGCTCCCACCAGCATCACCCTTCCAACCTCTTGTGCAGGGTGGTGGGCACCCAGCCCAGACCCTCCAAGGGCTGGAAAATAATAAAACGGCCAAATCTTTCCCTCCTGGTCCAGCCCTGCAAAGCCATCTGCTTGAGGATGAGGGAGCATTCCTGGACCGCTCTCCCCATCTTATCCCATCCCATCCCTAGGCAGGGAGCAGCCAAAATCCTGCTGTAGGGTAGGAATACCTGCTGTGCTGGACACGGCCCCACCATCCACTCACCCCAGGGCTCACAGCAGGGCACCCCCAGCCCATGGGAGTGGGGACAGCCAGTCCTGCCTTTCCACCTTCCCCTTCTCCCTGACTGAAGGAAGCATGCTGCAGGAGGAGAGGCCACTTGGCATGGTCACCCCTTGGCATGAGTAGGGCTGGCCGGAAGGGCACAGCCAAGAGCCAGATCCGGCCAGCAGGAGCTCACCCGCTTCCCCCACGGCAGGCAGCCCTGCTCTGATGGGCAGATAGAGCACAGCCACAGGTGCCAACACGCAGCCAGGTTGGCACAGCACCACACTGAGTTAGGGAGAAGCCACAGGGCCTGGGAGGAGGCAACAGCATGGGGTCTGGAAGCAGCACGGAGAAACCCCATCCCCACACTGGACCCGGTGTAGAAGAAGGCAGCCACCCACATCTCACCCCATAGGAACTCAAGCCACTGCTGTCACTAACATTTCCTTTATTCTTCACATTTTTACATACACGGTATAAAACCTTTTCCTTCCACCTGTCTGCACCAGCACAGCCCCACGGCAGCAGCCACCAGCATGCTGGACTGGGGGGTCCCTGGCATTCATTCCCAGGGCACAGACCCACGGTCCTATTGGTGTCCCCAGCACAATTGGTGCCAGGGCCGTATGGAGTGTGTCTCTGCTGGGATGGAGCATCCATCTGATGCGTGAGGAGCAAGTCCCCACTGCAGCACAAAGGCAGCGGCTCTCAGACTGCAGAAAGTCCCTAAGAAACCCAGAGCTGCCAGCTGTCCCAGGGCTCTGAGTTTGAGTCCTTCCTCATGGGAAATGTCCCCTCCGTTAAAAAAAAAAACAAAAGCAAGAGTAAAGAAAGTTAAGTACAAATCGGAGAGCAGTAAAAACCTTATGGTGGAAAAAAATATATATATTACTAGAGGGACTAAAACTTCAAAGCCTCATCTTGTTTGATCCTATAATGCTTTACGTGGGCAGGGGAAAAAAAGAAAAAAAAAGAGCACTAGCATCCAAAGTCCAACAGAAAGAACCAAGATTGAGTCTGTTTCTTGTCCATGGAGGCACTGGAGCTTTCCCAGGGCAGCACTATCCTATCACCATGGGATGGCACCGGCACTCCGGGAGGGAGAGGAGCAAAGTGTTCCTGGTGCTGCCAGCCCCAGCACTGGGTCACCCATCCCTGTGTCCAAGCAATCACAAATGAGAACCAGTCCCCTCAGCTCACTGCCCTCCCTATACCCTGATCTCATCATCATCTTCATCGGCAAAGGAGAACTCCTTGTCTGGGCGCTTCGGAGGGCCCCGCTGGCTCTGTGCCCCCACTGGGAGGGGGCTGCGCTCCCCCGGCCCCGAGGCACAGCTGGATGCTGCACTGCTGTCCCTGGGGCCGCCGGCGCTGCGGGATGGACTCTGGCTCTGCGCAGCCCCTGGAGAACCGGGTACAGCAACATCCCCCTCCTCACGGCTCTCCTCCGCCTCGAGGTCTTCATCCTGCTCCCACTGCTCCTTATCCATGATGCTCAGCACATCGCCGAGCATGGAGGGCCCCAAGTCGATGTGGAAGGACATGATGGACTCAGCGTGTTTCATGCCAGCCCCGCTCTTGGCCACCACAACGGGCAGCTCCGTGATGTCCCCGAAGTCGCGCTCATCCAGACCGGGGCTCAGCGGCCCGGCGGCCGCCCCGTTGAGACGCTGCTGCTCTTCGGGGCTCATCTCCTCCGGCATCTTCTTGACGGGACTGGAGGAGAGGCTCTTGGGCAGCTGCCCCGCGCTCCTGTCCACCTCCTTCTCATTGAGCTGCGGCAAGGAGACGGCATTCTTCACGAAGAGCGCCGAGTCGCGCAGCGAGCCCAGCATGTCCCGCCGGTCACCGCGCGTCACCGACTGCGAGCGCTTGCTGCTGCGGAAGCGGCGGGACAGCAGCCCCGGCTTGGAAGCCCCCGGTTCCTCACCTACCTCCGGCTCGCCGGCCTTGCTGGTGAGGAACGAGGTGTCCCCGAATGCATCCCCGGCCCGGCCCACGTGCATGGTGTGCCGAAAGTCCCCCAGCGGTGCGCTGATCATCTCTGCCGTCAGGTCGGCCCGCGAGCGCCGCTTGGAGTGCGCCGAGTTGGAGACGAGCTGCTTGAGGATGGGCATGGTGCTGGTGGTGGGCAGCACGGCCAGCGGGCACGGCTGCTGCTCACGGCTGCTGCTCCACGCACGGGGTCGCACCCGGCATCACCAGTGGGTCACTGCTAGGGGACAGGAGAGGGACACAGTCAGGCGAAGATGCTATGGGATCATAGAATCATTAAGATTGAAAAGACATCTCAGCCCCCAAGCCACCCTCACTGTGCCCTGTCCCCGAGTGCCACATCTCCATGGTTCTGGAATACCTCCAGGGATGGTGCCCCACCCCCTGGGCTGCTGTGCCAGTGCCCAACCGCTCATCCCGAGAAGAAATTGTTCCTGATATCCAACCTGAACCTCCCCTAAAACAACAGACACAGCCCTGCTGACACCAGCCCTCATACTACCAGGCTGCAAAACACAACACCATGGCCACAGATGAGTATGATCCTGCATCAGCCCCCACACAGAGCATTGCAAGGGGGATGGGGCCTCAGACCCCACCGAGCCACCCAACCCTGCTCTGTCCTCTCGGAAGAGTGGTGTCAGTCCCCATCCACGAAGAAGACAAAGAGTTGGGCATGGAGAAGCAGCAGGAAAGTCCCTGATGGAAATGAGCATGGCACCATGGTCCCCTTGTCCTGTCCCATGGTGATCCCAAGCTGCAGGCTTCCAGATATCCCTTCTCCTCCCTGAACACTCGCACGTTGTTGTTGCTTTGGAGACAGATTCAAGATGGCAAACCTGGGGAACCATCACAGCATCACCACTCCCCACCCCACCCCACCAACTCTTCTCACCCTGCAGCCCCAGAAGGGCAAATCCCCACAGCAGCCAGGTCTGCAGCAGAGCTCCTCGGGTGACACTACCACTCTTTGGGGACACACACACAAAGAGGGACATTGAGGGCACCCACTGCCCCTCCCTGCACAGCCCCAGCCCACTGGAGTGGGGCACAGCAGCACTGAACTTCCAGGAGCTGCACACTGAGAGGATGCCTGGGATTTTATTTTTTTTTAATTGAAAGAAAGCGGGGAGGAGCAGCTGCCAGGAGGAATTGGAAACAGACGGCAGGAAGTGTGCAAGGAGCCCCCGGGAGGCACCACCAGGCTGAGGGGAGCAGAGCAGGGACAGCTCCTGCAGCCTTGTGCACCTGGTAGCATGCGTGGCAGGATGGGGACATGGGGAACACAGGGGACCCCAAAGTCATCCATGCTGTGCCCTGGTGCTGATCCCACGTGTGCCTGTGCCACTCTCACTGCACCCCCATCCCATCCCCCCAGCACAGCCACCTCACCGTCACTGCTGTGACTCAGGGGTTACAGCTCACAGCAGAGATGACCAAGGGCCTCTCCCTTCCTCTTTCTCACAGCCCAGCAGCATTACGGCCTCCTCCATCCTCAGTGCCATCACCGGCCCCATCCAGCCCAGCCCCGGTGGCCACGCAGGAGGGAACAAGGACAGCGACCACATCATTGCATCCCGTGACGTCAGGCAGCCCCAGGTGGTCCCGGGCGAGGAAAAGCCAGAGAGGAAGAACTCACAGCCGCCCTCTTCCTCCAGTCGGGCACCGCGGCGCTGCTGACACGGCCATGCTCACAGGGAAAGGGACAATAACTCTTCCCTGTGTCCCTCAGCCATGCCCAGCTCTGTGGGACCGGCGGGGAGAGATACGGCAGCAAGGTCCCAATAAAACCCAGCCACGTACCCACACACATGCCCCAAACCTGCCCCAAGACACCTGGCTGTCCCTCACCATTCGGCCAAGCTTGTTTCATGTAGGCAGGGCGCACTCTGATCCCACACAGGTGCAAAGTCCCATTTCCCTGCCCCACTCTCACAGCTCCTCCTCAGAGCCAGCGCGCTGCATGGCAGCCCCAGAGCTGAAGGAACACGCTGACCCTGGAGGCTCCAGAGGGGACACAGCAGCAGGGATGAAGCAGCTGCTCTGTTTCCCACCAGCTCTTCCCATGCACTGCAGCCACCCCAAACCCAGAGCTGGGTGGGCTCCTCCCCACACCCCCATGCAGCTTCTCGCAGCCCCCCACTCCCAGCAACAGCTCCTGCATGCGCATGGTGCAGACATTTCCCTCTGCACGCTCTCCTTTCAGGCCAGCATTCCTGCAGCCTTTGGTTTTACATAAAACAAACACTCCCAGCAAGCTCCCCAGCTGGGCCAGGCAACCGTGCTGGCTGATTTAGGCCATCTGGGGACTGTCCCTCCCTTGTATTTAGATTTCAGGGCCAAGTCGAGCATTTGCAAGATACTTTGCAAGCTGCAGTGAAGGGGCCGCTGGGAGTTGGAATGTTACTGGTGCAGCCTCCCCATCCAGCCGCCCTCCATCACCATCAGCCTCCAAACAAGCCATGCTCCCCCCCCACCCCTGAGGCTGCGGCCCAAAAAAACATTTCATAGTGACCCAAATCTCCCTCAGAGCTTTGCCCACAGCCTCCTGTAAAGGCAAATCTGGAGCAGCCACCTATACCAGCCCCATCCCACTGAGGGAATGGGGCACAGAGCCCTCTTCTCCTGCTCTCGCTCAGGGCGAGGAGTAGAGATCCTGTGACATTCATGCTGTGCATGCTTTCACAAAGGAAACCAGGCCAGAGCAGTTCCACAGCTGCCTCTCCTGCTGCCTCTGGGATCACGGCTGTGAAACCCGAGCGGTGCAGCAGGGCTGGCAGTGCTGCCCATTTCTGGGCATAGCGGGTGGCAGCGAGTCCAGGCAGGGCTTTGGGGATGCGGATAGGATAGGACTTGCAAGCAGGGTTTAAGGCAACAGGGAGAAAGCAAAGCAGCAGTTTACAGTCTGCCTCATCCCCACTTCTCAACCCTTAATAATCTTGAACTCGAAACAGCGAGAGCCTTGCATCCCCCATTTCCCCTGAAAATGAGCGCTCAGCCTGGATCCTGCAGACAGCACAGAGGAGAGCCAAATCCCAGCCAGCCCCATGCAGGGCTGGCAGCAGGGACCACTCAACCTGATGCCAGTTTCATCCCCACCTCACCCCGCTCAGCACCAGTCACCCACTGGGGACCACAAGGCAAAAGAACAGGGACGGCACAGGGATGCGTGCGACGGAAACATCGCTCCAGCCACGCTCCCACACACCCCGCCTCCGGCTCACCCCGCTCTCGGGCTGGGAGAGCCATCCCAGCCAGCCCAGCCGGATCCCAACGAGCCGGGCTGCGCACATGCCACAGGCAGCAGCCTGCAGCCCCGAGATCAGAGGATGCTCCCCACCCTGCCGGGCGCTGGGGCAGGGGCAGCACAGGACCGGTCCGTCCCCAGTACAGCTCCGGGGCAGGGAGGACGCGCTCAGCCCCGCTCACGGGGCGCTGCCCCCCGTCCCCCCCACCCCCCCGCCCCGGGCAGCCGTCTCGCACAGCCCTTTGATGTCGGTGCCTGGCAGACGGCTGCCGGAGACGCTTCTCTCTCAGATGACGCCCTGCCACCTCCGGTCCCAGCGCTATCACAGCCCAGTGAGCCCCGCCAGGCCTGGGGAAGCCGGTCCCGTTCGCGTGGGATGAGGAGGCGCCCGGCGAGCGTTGCTCTCCGCTGTGGGTGACAGGTCTGGTCCTGTCTGCTGGCAACGCCGCGGCTCAGTCAGGGGATGAACAGAGGAGGCTTCAGCGGTCGGAGCCCGGGTCCGCGGGACGGCTCAGCTCGGCGCTGGTTGCAGCTATCTGCGCGTAAATCAGAGTTGACCCGGGGAAGCGCCAGCCTGGCGGTGCCAAAAAACGGAGCGGCGTTCTCCCCAGGGAGCGCTGACGCCCAAGAGCTGCATCCAGAGTTCAGCGAGGAGCTATGGGCAGGACACGCCATTACACGCAAGGGAGCAAAACCCTCCTGCTGAGGGGCCAAGAAGCAGCCCGCAGCCACGGAGGGGACGTTTCCGAGGGGAAAGGTTATCTCCTCGCTCCGTCACTCGCAACAACGGGGGCTGGCCAGGCTCTGACAGGATACCGGGGCTAAACGGCCCTCCTGACCTCTTCCAGGCTCCAAATTCCTGCGGTTTCGCTAGGGTGGACGGGAAGTAAACAGCCCGGCTTCCCACGGCTCACCCCGACACCCCACATGCCCAAACCCCACCGGCCGGCTCGGGGCCCCGCGCTGCCTGCACTCAGACAAAACCCAGCGAACAAAGGCAGAGACGGCCGCGGTCAGCACAACGCCGCCGGGCTGCTCACAGCTCACCCCACAGCGTGGCACCGAGAGGGTGGCCGCCCCCCGCTATGGGGGTCTTTTCACCCCACCTCCCGCACCAGCACCCGACTTCACGAACATACCCCGCATTAAACCTCAGCTGGATTTGCTCCACGGTCTCCGAGGGAGCCGCATCCAAAACAGATTTGTTTACTGCGTGTCCCGAGATCGGTGTGCCGCTCCCTGCCCCTCTCCCTACCTCAGTTTCCACCCCCAGACAGCTAACGATCTCAGCTCCCGCGTTAACAGCCTATAGATCGGCACTTGGAAACATCCATACCGACACCGGGGCTGCTGGGGTCAAGCTAGGGCAGCGCAGGCTGCATCCCCGTCCCCACCAGTGGCTTCCACCCCCCCAGCTCGGCTCTGGCAACGCCGTCCCACATCGCAACAGGCTTCTGAGCCCCGTGCTCAAGTTGCAGAGCTGAGAAAGCCCCCGGGATGCCCAGAATGCGTCCCCTGGGAGTGCTGAGCACTACAGGAGTGTAGAATGGGACGGCTGGGAAACCCTGGCCCACCCCCGACTGCAGGAAGCAGAGCTGAAGGGGGATTTCAAGCCGCTCTGTGACTCAGCAGCCGCTTCGCCCCGTCCCAGCGAGCCCAGAGGTGCGGCTGGAGCCGCTCCAAGGATCGGCGTTTCCGAGAAGGGCCGCATGAGCGCAGCGTTCGGGACTTCGACGGGGTGCGCAATCAGAGCCCGGCCCGGGCACCGCGCCGCGGGGCTCCGCGAACCGGTCCGGGGCAGCGCACTCGGGCCGAGCCATGCCAGGACCGGGACAGCCCTGGGGCCGGAGCCCGCAGCTCGCAGCTCGGGCGGGGCGAACCAGTGCCCCAGGCTGGGCAAATAGTGCTCCGGAGGCGCCGCATCCTGTTAACTCCTTCACCCACCCGGCCTGGTGCCGGGACAGGGCTCGGGATAGCCCCAGGACCCCACCCGCAGTGGTGGCGGCTCCGGACCCCCCGGTCCCGCATCCCACCCGCCTGAACCCCCACCGGCTGCATCCCGAACGCTGCTCCCGGTTCGAGGGGGAAGAAGGTGAGGGCCACGGCGCTGCCAGCCCCCACAGCCCGGGTCCTCTCCCGATTACCGAACCCCACCCGCGGGGCTCTCTGCTTACCGAAGCTCTATCCGCACGACGATGCCAGCACCGCACGGCCCGGAGTTTCCCAACGGCCCTCGGAGCGGAGCGGTCCGAGCTCAGCGCCCACCCCGGTGCCGCCGCGCCCCGTCCCTCCCTCGGACAATAGCAAAGCCAAGGCCCGGCCATCCCATCCCCGTGCCGTGTCGTTCCGAGCCGTGCCGGGCTGAGCCGTACCGGCGCGCCGCCCGAACCCCTCGTACCTGCGCGCCCGGGTCCCGCGCCCGACCCATGGCCGTGCCGCCCGGTGCCGAGCCGAGCCGAGCCGAGCCGAGCCGGAGCGAAACCGCACCCCCTCCACTACCGCCGGGCGCGAATGATGTCATCGCCCCGCCCGGGCCAATGGAGCCGCGCAACGTCACGGGGCTGCCCCACTCCCTCCATTCAAACCCGAGTGGGGCGGGGGGGGGGGGGGGGGGGTAAGGCTTGTCCTGGATGCGGCCTTTTTGGGGGTCCCTATTAGGATACCCCAACCTCGGAGAGAGATCCTCTGTGCGGAGTGCGGGGATCCAAGCGTGTGACTCTCCTTCCCCCCACCCCCCCCGTGGGGCAGCCAGGAGCTCGGTTCTCCCCTCTCCAGGCCCAGCAGTGGGCGGGGGCTGCCCGCACCCCCAGCGTAGGAACCCGGGCTGGAGGCTGTAATTAATTAAGGGAATTAAAGCCGAACTGAGCAGCCAGGAGTCAATGGGCTCAGCCCTGGGGGGGCACCGTTGACTACGCTCCGCTCGCAGCCGTGTCACCCCCGCTCGCCCTCTGCTGTCCCCAGCCTGTCCCCATCCAGCCCCGCAGCCGCAGCCTCTCGGCAGCTCCACGCGATGGGTGCGGGGCAGCGGCACCGCGCTGAGGGTTCAGGGCTGCGCAGCCTCCGCCGGAGATTAAGGAAAGACCTTTGTGGGAGAAAAGGGGCGGGAGAGACAAGATTATCCCGAATCTGCCTAATGCGGCGTTTCTTGCATATTCCAAAGCGTCTGGCGCCTCTGTGCATGCAGCCAGACCGGGGAATAAAGGGGTGGTGAGCGGGAGATACGGCTCCAGATGCTGCGGCCGTACGTGCTCGGGAGCTCATTGCTGCAGTAAGTGCCAGGGCACAGAGGTTTCTGGTGTCACCAACGAGAGGAGAACCCCACTTGCAGGGCGGCTCCACTCCCCAAAATGCAGCTGCACGGGTTCAGCAGCACCAACCCAAAGGGATGCATCAGCGCTGGGCACTCTGATGCTTCATCCCAATGCTGCCCATCCGTGGGAATGGGATGAGCCAGAACCATGAACCCGTTGCTCACTGCAGGGCTGGGCAACGCGCAATGCTGTGGGGTTGGCTGAGCACCGAGGCCAAAACAACTGCACTGGTGTGGGTGTTCAGCACTGCTGCTGCTTCCCACAGGCTCCTCCTGGGCTACGCTGCTCCCTCTGTTCACATCACTGCCATTTTCATAGCCGGTTTGGTCAGAAAATTTGATTTTCCCTGCTTTGCATTGGGGAAACTGAGGCAGAACACGAAGCACCGTGCCTGCGCACGGCCTGAAAAAGGCTGCGGAAGGGGAGGCTCCATCCTGGGGCTCTGCCCACATGCACCAAGCCCCCCCCCACGGCTCATTATCAGGTAAATCAGTGCTACCAGGCCAGCTCATGTCAGATGAAGGCCTTGCATTGCCAGCAATGCGTGCCTCACCTGATGCTGTCATGGGAGCACAGCGCTGGGTGAGACAGCACAGTCAGAAGGAATTAAGCTCAGCCGGCTGCCAGCAAGACAGCACTGCTGGGGACAGCACCTGAGGGCTGGTGGGGCTGTGGCTGGGCAGAGCGGGCACCCAGTGAACCCGAAACACTGCTATCAGAGCTGCCTCCACTCCTGTCCTCCTCCTGCAGAGCCCCCGGGGCAGGATCCTACCCTGGGGAGATAGCAGGAGGGTTGGGGATGCTCAGAGGCTCAGGAGTGGGTAGCTGGATGGCTCTGACCCTCCCTGAACCCATCGCTGGCTCCTTTTAGTGCTTCTCAGCAGCTTTTGAAAGCAGTGTGAAAAAAAAGATTGTAAAGCACTTTTAAAAGCCAAGGAAAATGTGCCTGGGTTCCCAGCAGCCAGTCCCCTCCTCCCCAGCAAGCCCAGCCAGCACATCAATGCCTGCCAGCTCTGCTGATGGTGCTGCCTTGGCCATGCAGGAGATGCTTCTGAGAGCACCGCCTGGTTTCTTCTGAGCCCGAGTGCTGCAGTGAGGTGTGGGAAGCACCAGGCAGGCAGCCTGAGAGCCATCTCAAATCCCCCAGCCCCACAGCCTGTGTGCATGCTGACCACGGCCAGAAACTTCCCTAATCACCCCCTTCAGCCCCACAGGCATCAGCTTGTGCCCAGAACTAAAGGTTCTCACCCCTTCCTTGTGTCATCCACCCAGTTAACCAGCCAATCCATGCACTCCAGCATGGAGTGTGCTGCATGCTCACCACCAGCATCTCAGCACCCACAGGAGATGCAGGTCAGAGCCTGGCACAGGCAGGGTTTCTCCACCATTCCCAGCAAGCACACTTCCCTCCTAACCAGCAACCCAAAACCCACCCCAGCCACCCCAGTGCCTCCGGCACCACCATAGGTGACAGATCCCATACAGTGTGACAAGCATCCAGAGCTGCAGGCAGGATGCACACACCTGGATCTGCCCCCTGCACAGCAGAGATTTGGGGTTTCAGCTTCTCCCCTCTGTCCCCCTTGGCTGCTCCAGGCCTGATAAGCACAGTGCTGGCCCTTGGCAGACTGCAGAACCCAGCCAAGCGCATACTGGGGAACACGTCAAGGTCAGCACAGAGCAGCTGGCTGTGTTGTGTCTGTGCCACAGGGAAACTGAGGCAGCACAGGCTCAGGATGTGCCACTAACACCACTGGCACTGAGACCATCTCCAGCCCAAGGATGTGCATCCTCCGTGTCCCTGCAATGGGGGCACGCTCTGGATGCTGGCTGCATCACAACTGCTCCCAGGGAGCCCTTGCATGGGCTGCTCAGATTTGCTTGGCTTCTCAGCACAACCCTGCAGGGAGTAAGAATTCCCTTGCCTGAGGCTGGGGCTGGAGCCAGGCAACAAAAAAGGAGCAGGATTTGTCCAGCCCACCCCTGCCAACATCGGCACTCAAGTGAGGAGATGCCTCCCTCCTCAGTGCCCATGGAACAGACAACACCGCTGCCCCTGTGCCAGCTCCAAAGTAGGTTGGATGAGTCACCTGCCAGCAATGCCCCCTGCTCTCTGCTGGCTGTGGCGACGTGGTTACAAGATGAAGCAGGGACAACACTCCCACAGGTGGCAGCGGCTGGGGAGCAGCATCCCCCATTCCTCCCCAGCCCAGGGGAAAGGTGGAGAGGGCACCACATCATGCACCCAGCTCCAACCGGTCCCCAAAAGCAGCGCTTGCACAAACACTCCCCACGTCTGCAACCAGCCCCATGGTCCCAGTGAGAAAGCAGCCCCAACCAGGGAGCTGTGTGCTGAGCTGTGCCATAGGGCTGACTCTCAGTGCAGCAGGTTGGACAGACACATCTTACTGGCTCCTTCTCCAGCACAGCACGGTGACAGACAGGTGAGACAGGGTCATCCTCAGGCTGTTTATTGGCATCTCTCGGTGCAGCCCCACCAGCTGGTGCCTGGCTCACCAATAGGCAATAGAAGAGGGGAGAGGCTTGCTATGCAGAGAGCACCAAAACCACCCCCTCTCCAGCCCCAGAGCACCCCGGGCGTCACCGCCGTGTGCCTCTTAAGCTCCCAGGCCTCTGCACAAAACAGAATTAAAATAAAAACACCTCCACGCTGCCAGAGAGGCAGAGGAGCAGCCACAGTCACTGCGTCACCCTGCCGAGTCCTCTCCAGGGTGCAAATCATAGGAGACATCAGCACCACTTGCACCCCTGGGGGCTGCGCTGGGCCAGGGGCAAACAAAGAGGGCAATTCATCGTCCACATGGCTGCTGGCCCCATTTCTCAGAGGGTCCAGGCTGGGGGCTTCACCCCCAGAAGGTTACATAAACAGAGCCCCTCTCCCCACACAGTCTCCTCTGCATCACCGCCCATTCCCACATCCTTGTGGGACCCATAAGTTGGGCTGTGGCACAGCCAGGGCCCCTCTGCAGCCTCCAGCCAAAGGGTCCTTAACACAGAAAGCTTTGGCCAAAAAGAGGAGCTGGGTTTTGCCCCCAGCCCCTGCTCCAAGTCCTGCAAAGGAAAGGAAAAAGCCTGAACCTGAGCAGCCCCTCCTCAGGCTCTCAGCATCTCCATCCTCTTCTCCTCCTTGACGCTTATTTCCTTGATTTCTTGCATTCTTTTTTTTTTTTTTTTTTTTTCTTTTTTTTTTGTTTTCTTTTTTTTTTTGCTCCTTTGTTTCGTGCGGTTTTCTTCTGCTCTCCCCTTTAAGTATCAAACAAAAGAGGAAAACCCAGCGATGGGGGCTCTGGAGCCGGGGGCCAGGCTGCTGGGCGGGCGGTACAGGGTGCCAGGTTGGCTGGGGGGGTTGCCGGGGGTCTGTGGGGTGGGAGT